AGTCGTCCTCTCATTTCTCCTTAGACTTGTCAACTTATTTATGATAATAACACTAGCAATTAAGGCAAAACCGCATTATTTTGGCCATGTTTATGCCCACACTCCAAGGTTTTGGAGCTGTACAAATTTTTATATATTATTTTTTAAAAAATTTTATTTAGTTTAATTTAATTATTAAAATAATTAATACTTATAATTATTGATTAATAAATAATAAAATTATTAATATTTATTATTTAAATATATTAAAATTAATTTTTAAATTATTTATTTATTAAAAAATAACAACATTTGTGTTGGGATAGCCATATCTCGATATTTTCTTATTCCAATACTAAATAATATTCTTAGCAAAAACCCCCTATTACTATCTCTCTATTTTAATTAAAAAATTAATTACAAAAATATGTTGTGGAATCTTAATTATGACATGCTATATATAACAATAATATTTAGATAAAAGACAACCTTAAATGTTTTTTTATAGTAATCATACTATAATTATAATATCATATATGATTGTAAATTTAATTTATTTTTAAATAAATAAATATATATAATATTATAAATAAATTATTAAATAATTAATCATATAATAATATATCAAAATTATAAAGTTTTAATATCTAGTGGTATTATAACCATACAATTTTTCATTTTGTAGTCACATCCAAAAATTTTGGTTTTACCTCAAACTCTTAAAATTATACTACTCATTAGTATGATTAGTGTATGAAATTTTCAATGTATTTTGTAATGCCTTTTAGACAAAAAGAGTATTAAGAAATAAAAAAATGAGTGTTTCTAATATGTTTGTTAAAAGTGCCTTAATGTAATATTAACAAAATTAATTAAATTTTATTAGTAATCTAATTTAAAAATATTCATGTGATATTTGTGATAAAAGTAAAGTTTTGTAATTTTTTTTTAGAAATTAAGTGTAAAAAACTAAAATTAATTTATTTTTAAAGGCAAAATTAGACAAACTAATAAAAAATTATCATATTAGTAACTTAAATTTCTACTTAATATTCAAAAATGAAATTGCTAAATTACTTACCAAAAACAGTTGAACCTATTAGCACTTAACTGAAGAAAACTGAAAGATCCAAAGGCGCTCAAAAATCATTTTTGGTATTTACAAAAATTAGGGGACCAAAATCAATTTAAATTTCCAAGTTTAAGAATCGTTTGGATAAGCACACGGAGAATGTTAACACGCACTAAATTGGAGCGTGATTAGTGTTAATTACCTACAATAAAACCATAAAGAATCGATTAAGAGCTGCTAATTAACGGCACATCCCTTTATTAGGAAAGGAGTTGACTTCGTCTCCCGTCCACCCCTTTACCTTCTCATTAATTGGACGCCCATCGATTTCTCACCTTCTCAAATTACTTTCAAAAGAGGAAAAAAAGAATCGATCATTTCTCATTTCCGGGAAAAAGATCGAAACTTTTCGTTTTTTACCCGCCGGAAAATCTATGTGAATCGGAAATTTTTCCATTTTTACCGCTCTGTAAAAAGGAGTGGGTGGGATGATGTTTCTAGGGTTAGGGTTCATGTCTTATTAAATATTTTGGTTCTTGGGTTGGTGCTGATTTTATTAAATTGTGGGTAGTTTTGTAATAGAAGTGTCATTGTCAGAACCCAACCTGTTTTTTTTTTTTTATTCTAAAAGAAAAAAAAATTTCTGGAATTTGTGTACTACTCCACACAGTTTAATTATGTTTGTGTTCTTATGGATGCAGTTAATACTGGGATTTTGATTTTGACACTCAACCTATCACTGTATAATTAATTTCCGGGAAAATTAATAATTAATTTCCTGGAAAATTAAAAATCAAGACGTGTTTTGAGCTGTTTCCACCTCTCTTACTACCATAATCTTTTCTAGAAAATCACTGTTTTTCCTATTCTCTCCCTTAATTTGCAAGCTGTAATTGAATGAGAGAGGAATTTGGACTCTTCTCTCTGATATAAGTTGTCCCCTTGTTATGTCCCCCTCCTTGTCACTCTCCTTTTAAATCTACGCGTCTGTGTCTTCATTTCAATGCTTCTTGCTGCTATGGCAATGGCGTTAAAGCTTTAATCTTTTCTTTATTTCTCATCTGGGTTTTCGCATTTGAGCTCTCTTTGGAGAAATCGTCTTGTTTTTGAGGTGATTTTAAAGGGGGTGCAGTAGCAATGGCGCCGTCGTTCGATTGGTGGGCGAAGGAGAGCCAAAGGGGGACCCCGGTGGTGGTCAAGATGGAGAACCCCAACTGGTCCATGGTCGAGTTAGAAGGTCCTTCCGACGAGGATTTCCTCATCGGAGGCTCGCCGGCTCGTCCGCGGGACAAAGCGCGTGGGAAGAACGCAAAGCAGCTTACTTGGGTCCTCCTCTTGAAAGCCCACCGTGCCGCAGGTTGCCTTACCTACATTGGCTCTGTAATGATTGGGCTGGGCTCAGCCATTCGCCGTCGCCTTGCTGCCGGTAGAACTGACAGCGAAACGGACGCTGACACCGACACTAGCGGTATGGAAAACGAAAACCCAACCGTCAAAAGCAGATTTTATAGTTGCATCAAGGTGTTCCTCTGCCTGTCTCTGTTGTTACTTTGTTTCGAGATCGCCGCGTATTTCAAGGGGTGGCATTTCGGGGCACCAAATCTGCAACTTCAGTACATTTTCACTACGCCGTTTGCCGTTAAGGACGTGTTTGATTGGTTTTATACAAATTGGGTTTTGATTCGAGTGGAGTATCTTGCTCCTCCTCTTCAGTTCCTAGCAAACGTCTGCATTGTGCTGTTTCTTATTCAGAGCATCGATAGATTAATTCTCTGTTTGGGTTGTTTCTGGATCCGGTTCAAAAAGATCAAACCCATCCCTGTGAAAGATGCAGTTGCAGATCTTGAATCTGGGGAAGAAGGGTTTTTCCCCATGGTTCTCGTCCAGATCCCCATGTGTAATGAAAGAGAGGTAAGAATAAGATAGAAGGTAGAAGCAGAGTCAAACATTTCATAGCTCTTTGTTATTTGTTGTTTTATTAGGTATTGAAGTTGTAGAGTTTGGTTTGAGAATTGCAGGTTTATCAACAATCTATAGCGGCTGTTTGCAATTTGGACTGGCCAAAGTCCAAGATTTTGATCCAAGTTCTTGATGACTCGGATGACCCAACGACTCAAACGTTGATAAAAGAAGAGGTGCAGAAATGGGAACAAGAAGGAGCTAACATTCTGTATAGACACCGCATAATTAGAGATGGGTATAAGGCTGGAAATCTCAAGTCTGCAATGAATTGTAGCTATGTTAAAGACTATGAATTTGTTGCAATTTTTGATGCTGATTTTCAGCCAACCTCGGATTTTCTCAAGAGAACTGTGCCACATTTCAAGGTAATTGAACTAATTGCTATTGCTTTGAAGTTCAAATTGCTTGCAATTTGGTATGCTAAGGTAGTCAAGGTCAAAGTTCTTATCCCACTCTGGTGATACTGCAGGATAATGAGGAACTTGGGCTGGTTCAAGCTAGGTGGTCTTTTGTCAATAAGGATGAGAATTTGCTAACAAGATTGCAAAACATCAACTTGTCATTTCACTTTGAGGTTGAACAGCAAGTAAATGGTGTTTTCATTAATTTCTTTGGGTTTAATGGCACTGCTGGTGTGTGGAGGATTAAGGCATTGGAGGATGCTGGTGGGTGGTTGGAGAGGACCACCGTCGAGGACATGGATATTGCTGTCCGTGCCCACCTTAAAGGCTGGAAATTTATTTTCCTTAACGATGTTGAGGTAGTGTTCCCGCGTTAATCTTTCTTGAATTCGAACAGGAATTTGTAATTGGTACTTTTGTAGTTAACAAGTTGCTGCTTTTGTATGGTCAGTGCCAGTGTGAATTACCTGAGTCATATGAAGCTTATAGAAAACAACAGCACAGATGGCATTCTGGACCCATGCAGTTGTTCCGCCTCTGTTTGCCAGATATCATCCGAGCTAAGGTGAATGCCTTTTCAAATGGTCACTGCTTAATTAGGAATTTGCCTTTTTTGTGTTTTCACTGGTGCATTATCCATTGATACTAATTCCTGACATTGTGATCTTGTGTTTTTGATTGATGCAGATTAGTGTATGGAAGAAGTTCAATATGATCTTTCTGTTCTTTCTGCTTAGAAAACTGATACTACCCTTCTATTCATTCACACTCTTCTGCATAATTCTCCCAATGACCATGTTCATTCCCGAGGCTGAGCTCCCTGCTTGGGTTGTCTGTTACATTCCGGCTACCATGTCCTTTCTCAACATACTCCCAGCCCCAAAATCCTTCCCCTTCATTGTTCCTTACCTTCTCTTTGAAAATACCATGTCAGTAACAAAGTTCAATGCCATGATCTCTGGCCTTTTCCAGCTTGGTAGTGCATATGAGTGGGTGGTAACTAAGAAATCAGGGCGATCATCTGAGGGAGATCTTGTCTCTTTGGTTGAGAAAGAGCAAAAGCATCACCGTGGGGTTTCAGTGCCCAATTTAGAAGAAATGAAGGTAGAGATTCAGCTGAAGGAACAAAAGGCTCGCAAAAAGAAGCATAATAGGATATACATGAAAGAGTTAGCCCTTGCATTCCTTCTTCTAACAGCTTCAGCTAGGAGTCTCCTCTCTGCACAGGGTATCCACTTCTATTTCTTGCTCTTCCAGGGGATATCATTTCTCCTTGTTGGTCTAGACTTGATTGGTGAGCAGGTTGGGTAAATTACAAGTTAGAAACTTCATGGAAATGTGTGATTGATAGATATAAACACATTGTGGGTGGAAAATGAATCCTAGTGCCACTGCAAAGAAGGGTTATTGGGAATCCGTAAGTGGAAGTGCTTGTTTCTTCCTAATCCTCCACCTCTACGCCCCAGTTCCAGTTCCATCCATCTACAAGAAGAAATTGTGTTATAGAGACAGAAGAATGGGCTCGATTTTTTGAGAAGTAGACACATGTAATGTCAGGTTCCTTATATTCCCCCCTTTTTTTTTCCTCCTTTCTTTGATTCATTCGTTTCTGGGGTCAATTCTTTTGTAAGAAAAATTGTGTTTCAAACAGTAATTGAATTTAGCCACAGTTTTAAGACAGGATCATACCTTCTCCTTTTCACCTAATTTTTTTGTAAGATTTGTCAATTCAATTGCCTTTAGTTCATGTGGCATCCCGTGGCAGAAAAGGACCTGATTTCCGGTAAACTGCCTTCTCACATTTATTCTGTTTTAACATGGGAACTGCCTTTTTCTCCCCCAAATCCAGGACAAGTTATGTCCATTGACATTGCTTATTCCAAATTACCAATAATTAGAATTAGTTTATTTACCCCCCAAAAAAGATAATTAAAATTATGAAATTACAAGAGTTTGAACATTTGATTTCAGAATCAAAGATTTGCTTATTCCAAATTACCAATAATTAGAATTAGTTTATTTACCCCCCAAAAAAGATAATTAAAATTATGAAATTACAAGAGTTTGAACATTTGATTTCAGAATCAAAGATTTATGGTAAATACTTGTTGGTCTCAAAATAATTGTCATTTTTGTTGAATAAGTTTAGTTTTGGAATGAAATGGGTATCAATTCAACTAAGCTCATCCAATGAGCCAAGATTTGCTTGTTTTATTGGGTTAATGTAAATGGGGTTCACTTGGAATGTCATAGTAGGGAGTGAAATACTGAACTCATCATCAGTCTGAGATCATTCGGTAGCACATGGGGATGGGGTATGTTATTGCGGGTGTGATGTATAATGGCGTAGGTCATGACCCATTCCAGAATTGACCTACTCAAATTTATTTTATTTTCTGGGAGCAGCTGGGCCACACTATGATATGGACGGACCCTTCTTGATTTTTTTCTTTTCTTTTTTTCCAATTTCTCTCTTTCTTTCTTTCTTTTTGTTCAAAACTTTCCAATAGAAGTTCTTCGTGCTGGTACGAGGACAAAAAAACAATTTGAAATCAACGAAAATCTTCTTTTTCTTTGTTTTTTAGTTCCATTGCGTTTGCAAAACGTTCCATGGTAAATTGCTGTCTTGTTGCATTGAAGGCCAGAACGTGTCAAAAGGAGCGGGGGAAAAGTAAAGGTTGTTTCTGTTGATAGTGCCAGCAACTTCCTCAAATGCATCCACATGGAACAAAGGGCAGACAAATAGGAACAGGTCACAACTCTTAAATGAAATGAGGACCATCAAATTGTACCACTTGTTAATTACCGATATTATTATTTATTTGTATTTACATTTAAGGTATTTTTAGATAAATTTTTATGTATTATGAGATTATTTTTTAAAATAATTTTAAAAGTATATTTTTATATTATATTGTTATATTTAAAAAATTATTTTTTTATATATTAATTTTAAAATTTAAACCTTACACATGACTTATAAAATAATATTTATTTATTAATAAATTTAACCTTACAGTTATTTATTAATTATGGTATCTTATGAGTGCTAATGACACTCTCATTTGCACTTCCTGCTTTTTTTTTTTAAGAGCAGTTTCTATGTGATTAATTCACTTAATAAATTGTTAATTCATTATGTTTGAGATCTTTTGGCCATTCAAGGGCCTGTTGGTACTTGGCAGTTTGGAGGCTTCCCAGTGAATTTTCCTTAGTGATACAGAAAAAATATGTAAATAAGAACACCACCCTTATATTTTTTTTATTCAAAGATATTAATTTTGTAAATTTTCATATAAGAATGATAATTTTTAATTTTGTATATTTAAAAATTAATTAAATGTTGAAGTTAATGTGAGAAATGAATTTTTTAATTAAAATATTAAAAAGTTGGTTTTTTAAATAAAAAATTTAAAATTTTATAAAATTAATATTTTTAAATTTTAAAACATTTAATAGATAGAAGTCCCAATCCCTGAAGGCAAACATTTCTTGATGGGCCTGATTCCTCAGTGAATTCACCCACCAGCCCACCCCACCCAAAAAGTTAAAAATAAAAATAAAATAAAATTGCACTGGCCCAGGATACAAGGGAGGGTATCTCTCTAACATGGAAAATTTTCAAAGAATTCCCAAAAAGCTCTCACAAAGCTAATTCACAACCCACAATTTTCAATTAAAAGGAATGCATGATCAATCAACTCTTGTTTTCTTCTTCTGAATTTACATGATTTGTAAAGCTAACAAGTCAAATTCTCTTGCTAAAAATTTTGAGAACAAACAGTTTGGGCTATAAAAGAACCTATACATCCCAAGAATGCTTTGTGTTGTCCACTGAAACTAGCTTCTTTTTTTTTTTGTTTGTTTTTTCATCTGTGGTCAAACTTGAAGAATACTCTGTTAGGTAGAATGAAGCTCTTTTTATCTTTTTATCGTTTCCAAGTATCAAAGGTCGGATTTCATTCGACCAGCTGAAAATGATGCAAACCTGAAGTTAGCAAGAGCAAAGGAGAAAAGGTTTCAGTTTGGGTCTGACTTATCAAGTACTTACCATGTGGTCCTAAACTGTCCATAGCTGAACTGGGATCGAATCCCGTTTGGAAAAGATTGTGTAGCTCATTGTCTAATGCAGCCTGTATGCAGGAGAGGAAAAAAGCATTAAATATTTGAATCCATGTTTCAATATCCATTAAGACAAATAGAGTGACAGAGAACTAATTTAATTACCTGAGGCAGGGAAGGAAATGGGGGACCTGTACTTGGGATACCTGAAATGGTTCCAGGAAGAACTCCAGGAGGGTATGGGTGAGAAAAGTTTAACCCAGGTCCAAATCCAAGAAAAGCTGCACTTGCACCCTGTGAATGAAGAATCTGTGGAGGAGGAAGGGCTAACAATTCATATTGCTTGCTCAGGATGAAAATGATATAACTAATGGAGTTTCTCAATTTGTTTTAGAAAACATTACTTACATCTTTAGAAAGAAGCCTCTCTAAATCAATGTTCAATTCTGGGTTCACAGTGGCAAGTTTCATCGACAAAAACTGCATATAGGAAGCAAGTTAATGGATCCTATTGAGCATTGAGAATTCAACTTAACTTCAGCAGGGAAAGATTGAATTAACGGATCCTATACCAGTATCTTGACAGTACAAGGCTAACTTTAGTTGCAGTAAAATTCCACCAAACTCATCATTTCATTTCCAGTTCTATTTTTTGGCTATCCAACACTAACGATACCATTTCTAGTTTATTTCCTTGAATGTATTAGCGTTTACACAAGCAGCCAATAACAAATGCTTGAATTCCACAGTCACAGTACCATACCTCAACCTGCTGTTGCAGTGACTGGACATAGTTAATAATCTCATCGAGCATCACAGCCTTCCCAGTAATCTAAAACAATGGCAAAACCTAAGTAATTAAGGTGCTTATGTATTTCTTAAAAAGAATCCACTGCAGAATCAAGTTTACTCTATTTTACCTTATTACATCCAGGAACAAGTTCCTGAAGCAATCTCATTCTCTCACTAATCTTTTCTCTTCTGACCTGAAAACAGAAACATCTCCTAATTCAAGATAGATGTAAGAATATTTGTAGCCTTAATTAACATCAAAACAAGAAGTTACCCTTTCTGCAAGGCTGTGGCTATTTGTAGCCTGACCCCTTCTGGCTCTCACATGAATATAATTTTCTTTAGTAGCTTCTCCACTTTGAGAACTGTCTTTAGCCTGTTTAACAACTTGCTTGCCACGAGAATTTGCACCATTATTCTGACCAATTTTCAACTTCTTCCCATCCTGTTCTTTTGGAGCATCAGAGCAATCTCCGGCAAGATTTTTCTGAGGCTCCTCTGCAACATCCTATAATTAATAACAAAGCCAATTAACTAATCATAACAGTGATGTAAATCATTAACACTTCATGGTGATGATCATCAGAACAAACAGTCTTACCTTTGATGAATTCATGGTAGGGTTTGACTCAGTTACTCGTTTTCTCTTCTTTTCATTAGGTGAAGCACATATGGCTCCCTCTTCTGAAACCTGGCGATCGTCATTAGGTTGTGTACCATTTGCTGAAGCCCTTTCAAGTCCTCCCTCCTGCAGATTTGGAACATAGTCTGGAGGGATCCCACTATTCAAAATCTGGGTGGAATGAGGTACACCGAAGGAGCCAACAATTTCTGAGAAATTTCCACTTCCAAAGCACTGATGCTTTGGCATAAGCTCCATAAAGCTTGAATGTGATGGGTACTGGGAGAAGTGGGAAGCACCCGCAATTCCTTGGTTTTCCATCATAGCAGAGTAATGAGAATTTGGAAATTCACCCTGAGAAACCATTGAAGAGCCACCAAAATTTTCACTTTGACTCAGTGAAGCCATTGGATTTGAAACCCAGCCAGAACCAACAAAAGGGTCTGCACCATTTGAAGGCTTGTACATTGACATTGAACTCATTGCCATCACTCCAACCTTGTCAGACAAGGACCCTTTGTTCATCTGGGAGGATGGGTAGTTCATATTCTCATACCTGTGTTGAAACCCCACATCATCATTACCACCACTACCCATTCTATGGATCAAAAAAGCTACACCCCAAATTGTAAGGAACTGAACTATCTATAATTGAAAATTTGAAATCAAACTCCTACTCAATAGCCTGCCAGGCCAAGAACCCTTAACAGAAGATAACTATATAATCAGAGAAAAGTGGTTTGACCAAAAATAGGGGGGGTAAAAATCTTGTAGGAATGAATAAGGAACAAGCAACCGTGGCAGCTTTATAGAACTGAGACGGTGTTAAAGCAAAAGAAACCCTCAACTGCAGCATCCCAAGCACTCAAAAAGTAAAAGCAGATATCCAATGTATCAGCCATAAAATCTACTACTAATATGGAACATCATGTAATTTACCTTCTGTTCTGAAAACCCTAGGATCGAGCCTATCTCAAGTACAAGGCAGAAAAGAAAAGCGCTTCACAGCGACAAGAAAGTGAACCTTTCAGAGCATAAAGTGGACGTAATCAAAGAAATGGCAGTAGCTAAGTAACAGCTCACGAGACTAACCAAAAAGAAAGATGATTCCCTTTTTCCCCTTTAGCTTACATGAGAAAACAAAAACACATTTGCATTCTCCACTCAATTAAACAACAATGTGATTGATTGAACTGAGTAGAAAGTTGAAACCCCAATTGAGGATCACCTCAGGCTTCAAGCAGTGAATGAAGAACAAAAACTGGGGATTGAAGAAGCCCTAATTGAGAAACAAACATGATGAAGGTTTGAATCAAGATCCAATAACCCCAAAGATCCAATAACCCCAAAGAACCAAGAAAAAGAAGTTCTAGACACCCTTTTGAGATTTGCTCAGATGGTCCCCAAAAGACCAAAGAAGCATCAAATTCTACTGAAGAACCCAAATGGGGGCAGAGCCTTGATTCAGTGTCCCAAAAATTGGGCGTTGGACAGTTCCTTCAGGGAGAATCAAATGCTAGCTTAAATTCAAGAAGAAACACCAAATTCACCAAATGGGCACTCGCACAAGCAGCTGGGGAGCATCAAATTCTCAAACTTTATAGATCTCAAAGTCTAGACTGCGAGAAAAAAGAACACGTAGAGAGCTTGAAAAAAAAAGAAAGTAAAGCTTTCAGCTTTTTGCTTTGCTTACCTGCCCAAGGCAGCAAGAGACATATCATTTTGAATGACAGACTAACGACAGACTAACTACTGCCAACTGTTTCCAAATTATTACAGAACCTAAAACTCTCTTGTAAAAATCTTTTCTTTTTAATATATTAATAAGTATTTTACTTTTCATGGAAGCTGAGATTTTGAGAGGTTCTTCTCTTCAAGGCCAAGCTTGTTTGCTTCTTTCACGTACACTTTCCTTTTTTTACTGACACATTTGCCAACGACTTATTCCAGCAGTCCCTTTTCTATCACCGGCAACTGCCCTTTCTTCTTTTATTTTAGTATACCATACCATACATCACACCTCCACCACCCTCCATTGATCCCCCATCCCACAATTAAGTGTAGTCTAATTTAGTTACCGTTTGGATAATTTATTAAATTCAATTGATTGTTGAAATTAGATAACTAATAATTTGTTATTTAAACACCTTTATTTATCTAGTTGGTAATTTATAATAGTTTTATTCATCTAATTAAAAAATAATAGTGATATTCTTTTAATATTTTTTAAGGAAAGTAAAAAGGAAGGATAATTTTTTTTTCTTTTAAACAATGTCTAGTCTTAATTAAGAGATATGATCACTTTCTTTTATGGAATTCTCTATTTCCTTTCTGTAAAAAATAATAAAATTATGTTCAAGTAAACAAATATATTGTGCTTATTGTATTTTATACATTGCATCGCACATAACCTTTAATTATCGGCTTTCTGCCATAACCATCAAGCTAACAAATGAAAGATGGACAGAGCTAATTTAGAGGAGAGTGAAACTATAGACTAGGATAAATTTTCTTCACAAAACTAAAGCACAATTTAATATGGTGAATCACATTTCATTTAATTATTAATAAATGCTCTTAATATTAAAAATTAATCTTTTTATTAACAATTATAAATATTTCATCTCTCGAAGCATTCTCTATTCTCTCTTTAATTCTTTTGATAACTTATTATTTAATTAATTCGTACATCGGCTTTTTTTCCTTTTTTTCTTCTTTAGACTTTGGGGGGTTTTGGCTTTGGTTTTGTCATAAAGAGGAACATAGGGAATAACGGAATCTAATCATGAATTTTTACCTCATTGTCTTGGTACGGTTTCCAGCTGTAACTCCGCAGTACCGCGTACTTAGTCAAAGTAGCACATTTGGTCAACTCAATGTTGGTTCTGGGTTGGGATCTTGCTGGATCATCGCGAAATCAACAGGCCCTGATGAAGATTAATTATCCTCTGCGCATTATACCATACTGTTGGAGTTATGAAAGTAGTTTCTGTGCGATGCATTGTGTAAGATTTTCATTCCATGTGTGACGCACCTGGGGACTGAGTAATGGGGGCAGTCAGAAACAGCCATCTATATATGTTTTTTTTTTTTTTAAACAAAAATAATAGTTAAAGGTTAGTAATATTAAAATTGTTAATGAAAGGTATTGAATTGGACAATGATGTAATTCACCAACTATTTTTTTTAACAGCAACGATCACAACCACAACAAAAAATGTGAAAAGAGATGAAGATTAAAGTTTACACAAAGATAAAATATCTTTAATCAATAATTAAATAATCACTTGGACCACACGGTTTCTTAGCCATCTATAGACTGTGATTGAGACGCCACATGTAACTTATCAATGTGGATACACACACCAGATCGTTTTTCTGGACACCCGTGAAAGGTGAGGGGGCCAGGCCGGGGGCAGCAAGTCCCTTCTTGTGTGCAAATATATGATTTTTTTTTTCTTTGTAAAACAAATGGAAAGAAGAAATTTAAAAGGTTTTGTTTTCCCACATGCTTGTAATCTTGAAGCCGAAAGACAATTTTAAGATTGTAATTACTATAAAAAAAATTATTTTTAATTCAATTTCAACTTTTATGGTGTAAAAGATTTTTTTTTTTTTTTAACATCAAACAAACAAATTTCACTAAACATCTAAGGGGCTTTATTACTGGGCTGATTAGATCCTAAAATGATGGTTGCATTTGTCTAGTCATAATATTTTACAACTAAAAGTAGCTTACTTAAATGTTTGGCTTAGCATGTAACTCTTTTCATTTTATTTAATTCATTCTATCTACATGTGTTTACACCTCATTTTGCAACAAATAAAATAGTATCATGTGTCATGTGTCATTCATGTTAACAAGTATTTAATTAGTTGAAAAGTTATTTTTTATATCTCTCTCAGATAAGATTTAGTGGTTATTTCTACAGCATTAATAAAATCATTCACTTGTTGCAAGTTTTTAGAAGCATAATCAACAACACTAACAGGTCAATAAGTTTGTTATAGATTTTATGCTATTGTTAGTTTTCAAAATGTTCTTGTAGATATCCAACATGTTGTCAATGGGTGTTTCCTACTATAAATATGCAGAGAAGAAACCAAACAAGATGGACCTACTTTTCATACAACAACCTCGGTAAAATTTCTTTTAATGCTCAGATTCATCTTAGTTTCAAACCCTTTAATTTAATTTTAACTCTGCATTTCAACCTAAATCAGGCTTCAACCTAAATGACTCTTCAACTTTAGTTTAATGTCTTTTCCTTTAAAAATCATAGAAAATAATTGCAATTCTCTAAGGAAACAATTCAATTCCTCTTTTGTTGATTTTGTAATGATAAGATTCACTGTCTTTAATGATATATGTTTGTAATTTGATTGCTTCCTTTCCATTATTGTTTTCCTAATTTCTTTTAATTTAATCAGATAATGTCAATATTTAATTTCATATTCGATTCTATTTTTGTTAATTTATATTTCATGCTGCTAGTAGATTTTTCATATTTCCAGTTTTCTTTACTTTAACTTAATTTAATTTTTTTTGCATTTTGATTTCCTTTTTAAAGCTATATTTCAACTCAATTTACATATTTAAAATTCAGTTGGATTTTTAGTAATTTGGTGATCATTTACGTTTCTTACCGTCTTAACCTTTTTTTCGATTATATTAGTTTGAAAGAGTCCTTGAAGTCTTATTTAAGACATTTTGTCATCTAATCCTTTTAGTGCAGGAAGTTTATCCCTCGTTTCTACCAATCATCTGGTCATTAAGGCGCAATCCATTATGTTCTTTCATTAACTCACAACTGAGTTCCACACTTGGGAGAAAAAAAAAAAAAGAGAGAGTTGTCGAAGAAATCTTTCTTTTTTGAATAAAACAAGTAATACGTTATTTAACTTGTCATATGTCAAGAAGATTTTTTGAGATAATAATATGTTATATAATTTGAATTTAAAATTTTTTATTTATAAATAAATAATTATATTGCTAAATTACTTAGATTATTAATTATTTAGATCTTATTTACTAATGAAAGTTACAGAAACAAGTCAAATTCTTTGATAAAAGGCACTTTTAACTTCTTTTTTTTTTTTTAAATTGTATTTAAATTAAAGTATATATGTGTTTACTTCTGTTTGTTTCAAAACAATCTTAGTGACTCAATCTTAAGAACACACACTTTTATATCAATTTAATGCATTAATTTTTTTTTTTTTGATGTTACGCTAATATTTAAGTTCTAAATCTAATCTACAATTTAGGTGTTACCCTAATATTTGAGTTCTAAATCTAAGTTTACAAATTACTTACAAGTAAATTCAATTTTGAGGTTGTACCAAAAAAAATTCAATTTTCAAGTTAAAGTATTTATGCCTTTTTATTATGATGTTTTCAGCTATAAATCATAGTGTTTAATGTTTGAAATGGAATTTTTGGTTTTTTTTTTTAACCAATTTGCAAGAGCCGGATTCAAAACCGTTGCCCAGAGAGAGGGGATGCCCTTTAAACGTGATTTGATGTCACTGGATCCGAAGATCCAAATGCGAAATTTTTGTTATTAAAACAATAAATTTGATAATTTTTTTTTATTAATTTTTAAAATTTTAATATT